AAAAAAAAAAAAAAAAAGCCAGGCATAGTGGCATGAGCCTGTAGTCCCAGTTACTAGGGAGGTTGATGCAGGAAAATCAGTTGACCCAGGAGGTTGAGGCTGCAGTGAGCTGCCATCGTGGCCACTGCACTCCAGCCTGGAGGACAGGGCGAGACCGTGAGACCCTGTCTCAAAAAAAGAAAACAAAGGTCAGGCACGGTGGCTCACACCTGTAATCCCGGCACTTTGGGAAGCCGAGGCAGGTGGATCACCTGAGGTCAGGAGTTCGAGACCTGCCTGGCCAACATGGTGAAACCCCATCTCTACTAAACATACAAAAATTAGCTGGATGTGGTGGTGCACACCTATAATCCCAGCTGCTTGGGAGGCTGAGGCAGGAGAATCACTGGAATCCGGGAGGTGGAGGTTGCAGTGAGCTGAGATTGTGACACTCCAACTCCGGCCTGGGTGACAGAGCAAGCCTGTCTCTTTAAAACAAAAAAAAAAAAAAAAAAAAAAAGAAGGAAAGGCTGTGAGCGAAGGTGTGGTGGTGGTGGGAATCTGCCCCCCTCAGAATTCACACCCCCTCCACACCATAGCCCACAGTGCCAAGGTCGCCCCTCAGAGCAGGTGCTGAGGTCTGGACCAGGGAGCCCTGGGACAGGGCAGCGGGGAGAGGGCTTCCTAGAGTAGCCCCCAGGCACCAGAAGGTGGCACCAGGGGAACGAGCCCTTCATGTCCCACCAGATTCTTCGTGAACTTTGCGGTGGGACAGGACCCGGGCGCAGACATCGCCTTCCACTTCAATCCGCGGTTTGACGGCTGGGACAAGGTGGTCTTCAACACCCTGCAGGGCGGGAAGTGGGGCAGCGAAGAGAGGAAGAGAAGCATGCCCTTCAAAAAGGGCGCTGCCTTCGAGCTCGTCTTCCTAGTCCTGGCTGAGCACTACAAGGTTTGCATGCTTTCTCTCTTGTTTTCTGAGCTGGAGTGCAGTGGTGCCATCTCGGCTCCTTCCTTCCTTCCCTCCTTCCTTCGTTTTCTTTCTCTCTTTTTTTTTTCTTTTTTTTTGAGATAGAGTCTCACCCTGTTGCCCAGGCTGGAATGCAGTGGCACGATCTCAGCTTACTGCAACCTCCACCTCCTGGGTTCAAGAGATTCTCCTGCCTCAGCCTCCCGAGTAGCTGGGACTACAGGCACGTGCCACCACGATCAACTAATTTTTGTATTTTTAGTAGAGAGAGGGTTTCATCATGTTGCCCAGGCTGGCCTCGAACTCCTGACCTCAGGTGGTCTGCCCGCCTCGGCCTCCCAAAGTGCTGGAATTACAGGCATGAGCTACCGTGCCCGGCCTCTTCCTTCTTTTTCCTCTTTTTCCTTCCTGTTTCTCCGTTCTCTCCTCTTTCCTTCCCTCCTTCCTTCCCCCTTCCCTCCTTCCTTCCCCCTTCCCTCCTTCTTTCCCCCTTCCCTCCTCTCTTCTTCCTTCTCTCTCCCTCCCTCCTTCCCTTCTTTCCTTGTTCCATCCCCACTTTTTATGTCAACTTCTTTCTTTTCTTTTCCTTCTTTCCTGCCTATTTTTAAAAATCCTCTTTTAGCTCTTTCCCTTAGTCCCTTTACCCTACTGCTGAGAGCCTTGTAATACATTTCATGTGTATTTCCTCCTACCAGTTTGTGTTTTTTGCAAACCATGTACTTTTTTTTTTCTCTTGAGACTGGGTCTCGCTCTGTTGCCCAGGCTGGAGTGCAGTGATGCAAACAGCTCACTATACCCTCAACCTCCCCAGGCTCTGGTGACTCTCTCGCATCAGCCTCCGGAGTAGCTGGGACTCCAGGTGCACACCACCACGGCTGGCTAATTTTTGTATGTTTTTATAAAGACAGGGTCTTGCTATGTTGTAAAGACAGGGTCTTGCTATGTTGCTCAAGCTGGTCTCAAACTCTTGATCTCAAATGATCCCCCCACCTTGGCCTCCTAAAGTGCTGGGATTACAGGCATGAGCCTCCGCGCCTGGCCAGTGAGCTGACTTTTGACCCTAGCTTGGCCTCTGAGCTGTGGACTCCAAGGTTCCTGATGCTGAGGCTGTCCCAGCTCATCCCCAAGACTTTCGACTCCCAATGAAAAAGATCCCTGTTCCCTGCTTTTTTTTTTTTT